GGGGGAGGAGGGGAAGGGAGGAGGGGGAGGGAGGAGGGAGAGGGAGGAGGGAGAGGGAGGAGGGAGAGGGAGAGGGAGTGTGAGCCGCAGGGCCTAGCCTGGCACCACTTATGACAAATTCTTTGCCAGAAAGGGAGAGGAGACTCCGAGCACCGAGCGCGTCATGGGGAAGGAGCCGCAGAACAGAGGCCCCTGGCCGCAGGGGCGGGTGAAGCAGGGGCCTCAGAGGCACAGGCAGAAGTTCCCGGTGGGCCAGAACCCAGGGAGAAAGGGAGGCCAGGAGGGGGCGCTGAGGTCCCAGGCCCTTCCCTGGGTACGTCTCCGAGCCCCTCCCGCCCCCCGCCCTGCGCCCGTCACCACCAGGGCAACGGACGTGGGGGCCCACGAGGGTCCGTCCAAGGCACCTGCAGGCCGGGGCTGCCTCTAGGGTTTGCTGGAGGGCGTGGGTCTCAGGCCCCGCCAGGCGGGCGGATGGCGAGGGCGGGAGGCGGGCGAGCACCACGCCCTCTAGGTGCCTGGAGCAGCCAGGCTGAGCCCGGGCCGGGACATTTTATGGCCACAGGACCCCGGGTCACACAGTCCACCTGGGGGCTGGTTCACCTCTCCACACTGAACAGCTGAGCTGTGGCGTCCCATGTGGACACAGGACTGGGCCATCCCAGAGAGGGGGCACAGGGAGGGCTCCTTCCACCCCGATACAAGTGGGGAAGCCAGACACAGAGACGGAGACACACGGCCTCCGGCCCCATCGAGATGAGACGAGAGCGGGGCCTCGTCAGCTTCTGGAATTGTCTGTCCTCGAAGGATGGCTGCTTCCCGGCCCCGGGGCTGGACACATGGCACCGCGACCCCAGAAAGGTGTTCCTTGCGCGGAGCTGGGGTACGGACCGGGTGCGAGGCTCTGGACACATCCCAGCCCATCACCCCCTCCCCAGACACAGGAATGCATTTCTGAAGATACAAAGTGTTCCCTTTTGAGAAGGAAAATAAAAGGGGTGGGGGGAGGCCAAGAATCGCTTACCTATACAGCGTAAAGAGACCACCGTTTTTGAAGAACAGACATCACTGCAAAACAAAAAACAACAGATGTTCTGGTCACTAGAATATGCGAGGAAATGCTTGACTCTCAAAATACTTAGAAATAAATATTTTCCTCCCATGTTCTCACTTCCCCGCCCCACCCCCGACATAGAAGGGCCCACAATTGAAGACTTGAATAATGACAGCAGATCTAAAGAGAGACACTGGCAAAGAGCAGACACTGAGTCCAAGCCCAGGTTTCGAGTCACAGCTGTGTGATCTCGTGCTAGTTACTTTACCTCTCTGTGCCTCGTTTCTCCCATCTGTAGAGTGGGATAATAATAGTACCTAGTCATAGACTGGCTGTCAGGGGAAGCACCCAATAACAGGAGCTATTATTTTTATTCCCAGAAGTTAAAATCACCCTCTCATTTTGCGAGGAAGCCATTTGTGACCTTCCAGGTTCCTGTGATAGCTTCACACCCACTACACAGAAAAACGAGACAACCCATCATTTGCTCAGAAGCCAAAGAAAAGTTACTCATCTGGGAGGTAAGTGAAGTTACATCTGAAAGATAAGTAACCGGCGCATTCCATCTCAGAGAGAATGTTCCCCTAATAGATTGTGGAGGATGCAGGCAGCCAGCCGCGGTTTCCGCTCAATAGAACCCCTTTCACGGGGTCCAGACCATAAGCCTAGACCAAACCACACGGTGACCGGCAGCCCCCTCTGCTGGCCACCGGGACTGAAGGCGCTTGCTTGCCAATCCCGGGATAGCCTAGCTTCACGCCAGCCCCGCTTCAAGAAAAAAAAGCATCAAGGTATCAGTCTCAAGGTCACCTCGCTTCCCAACAGCATCCGATCCAGAGCAAAGTCCTGCCTCCTTGAGCGCCCCCCCACCCCAAATGACTCAACACAAGCTCAGGTCCTATTTATAAAGTCAGCTTCTGACACCCTCCCCTCGAGATGCCCCCCTCCCCGGTTCCAAGGACACTGTGTGCCCCGTGGTCTTCGGCTGTGGGGCATGGCCATGCCAAGAGGAGACACGTTCCCATGAAAAGAAAATGGTTTCTAAGAAATAAAGCTGATCCTCTATGTGGGGGGCCACTGTCTGGCCACCAGCATGTGGCCACGTGTGTCCAAGCGAAGAGAAGGGAGCCTTCCGCCCCCTGCCCGACAGCCACCCTGCGAGTCCCTGAGTCCCTGTGGAGAGGTGGAGTGTCACCAGGTGGGAACAAGCAGCATCTACAAAAAACCCCGCTGATTGGATGTGCACACCTGGCCAGCACAGCCCTCCTCCTGGGCTCACTCCGTCACATTCTTGGGGACAGCCAGGCGGGGCAGCTGGGGCGGAAGCCGGGCCCCACAGCCAGCAGCCGCCAGGAATGTAGACCCGCTGCCGGCTGCCCTCTCAAAGGAAAGGAGGGGCGCCCTTCCCGAGTCACTTCGTTCTTCTCCCCCGCGAAGCGCGGCCCCTCGCAGCGGGCGCACAGGGAGGTGACGGCTTGGCCAGCCACCTGGGGATCACTGACAGGGACCCGGGAGCTGACCAGGGCTTGTCCACAAAGGACGCTGTGTGACTTTCACATGAACGAGGGTTCAGGTAGCAGTGGCAAGCAGCCTAAGTGCCCTCTGTCCCCCCTCCTCCAACCAGTTAGGCCACTGATCACGTGATCAGCTGTTCATGTTCTCTTCCATCCACTGGACACACTGAGACCGGCCTAGGGCCACAAGTTGGCTTTGAGGTACAGGACATGTGGGCTGAACTGACCTGGCTGCTCCCTCCCAGGCCCCCACAGTGCTGCCCACGCCCGGCACGGCGCCATCTGACAGTGGCTTGGGGGCTGGGGGACCAGCCGTCCCTGCTGCTTGGGCCTGAGGGGGCCCCTGGGAAGCAGGACTTCCGGGCTGAAACTCGCAACATCCTGGCAAAGCAGGATGAATAGTTGGTCACCCCCCTTGGGACCCCGACTTTCTCTGGGGTTCCTGGAGATGCACCCTGACACGCAGTCCGTACATCTCTAATGTCTGAGGAGTAAAGGAGACAGGAGGGAGGACTCTCCAGTTTAATTTTACCATGTTATCCGGTGCCAGCCGGGCCGAGGGCAGGGGGCACGAAGAAGATGGCAAACAGCCCTTAGCCGCTCCCGGAGGGTGAATTCTCCACTTAGAGTCCCATCTCCTCCCAAAGAGAAGCTCAGAGATACTCGGCTCAGAGAACTGCACCTCGGGACCGTGACTCCCGGTGGTGTCTCCCGCTTGCTCTCATTACAAAATTTCTTAAAGAAAAAAAAAAAAAAGAAGCGGAGGAGGAGAAAAAGAAGAAGAAATCACCAAATACCTGTGGTACAGTTTCTTGTAGAGGTCCATGTTGCCAGCACTTAAGTTCAGCTTCATAAAGCTCGTGGCCCCACTGTCATCCACGACTCCGTGGCTAGAATAAAAACTGTTCCTAAAAGAGACGGGAAATCGGAATTGCATAATGGGCGTCATTATCAGCGCTGGCAAATCCCGTGCCAAGTCACCATACTTCTCTGGTATGATGTTCCGACTAAGAGGGACACCTTGGCGTGTGGGAAACAAAGCCACAAGGTCTAATTAAGTGACACTTCCAATAATCCTCTTTGGACTCTGTAACGCGGAAGCGTCCGGTGAAAGCCCTCCGGGGGCCTTTTTCTAATCTAGTTCGGGTGAGGACCGAGCATTGGGGACAATAGGGGTGTGAGTGAGCACGTGTAACCAAAGAAAATTTACAGATGTTAAAGCACCCCCTGCTGTGAAACCCAATAGGGTCCTGAAGACGATGGGGACTTTACTGTGTCAGGTAGGGATGGCATTTTGAAATATTTCACTGGCTAAGATGCCACGTTTCTTTTCTTCTTAAATGTAATTTATCATCAGATTGGCTTACATACAGCACCCAGTGCTCATCCCCACAAGTGCCCTCTTCCATGCCCATCGCCCCCTTCCCCTCTCTCCCACCCCCAAAGATGCCCAGTTTCTTATCAAGCAGTAATTAATTTTGACAACTGGCATACGGAGAGCCCCCCAGGCCTGCGCAGAAATCACACGGAGACACCCCAAGGAAGATGTGGTGGCAATTAAATCACACAGCCTTTCCCTGTGGCTGGACAGCCACCAAGCACGCCAAACGATACGCTGAGGAGCCCCTGGCTGGGAACCCCAGGGAGGGTCCCTCCTGCCTCTCCCCCTGCCCCTGTGGCCACATGCAGGGCTGAATTCTCTTCCACGTCAATCTGATGTCACCTGTCTCCCATTCAAAGGCCTCAGTGCATCCTCCAAGCATGTATGCAGGGCGGGTCTACACATCTATGCCCTCGGACCTCCCCCAGCCCCCCGCTGACCCCCAGCCACGGAGGCCTGGGGTGGTGAGGCCTCAATGCTGCCTAGAAGCTCCTTGAGAAAAGGAGTCCCCGGCCAGCATCCTGGACCTTGGAGACCTCGGCCGTGGACGTCCCTAGTAACCGGGAGTGGACGGAGGCCCAGGAGGCGGCGGGGCTGGGGGGCAGTGAGCCGGGGACGCGGGGGCGCGGTGGGCACCTGCTGGCCCCCCGACCAGCTCTGGGAAGGAGGCGGCTGTGCCCGTCAGGGGCGCGCCGGCGCCTCGGGGTGCCCTCCTCCCGTGCGGCGGCCGCACTCACCAGTAGCCCATGTCCTGGCAGGCGGCCCGGCCGTAGCCCTCACTCCAGTCGTCCCGACACACGGGGTGCCACGACTTCCTCTGCGGCGAGTACACCTGCAGGATGAAGTTCGGTCCGTAGAGGCGAACTGCGCAGGGGAGGCGTCCTGTGAGATTGGGGGCCGCCCGGCACCCCAGGGCCCCTCCCACCCCCACACAAGGCTCAGAGGCAGTGACACGCGGGCCGCTGTCCCCACGGCATGACCACGCACGAGGGGTGCCGCCCATCGCTCCCTGTCCCTTTAGAGCCCCTTGGGGGGAGGGCTCTAAAGTGCTCTTACCCCCAAAGCGCTGACAGCAGGGGCTGAGACAGGCGGGGAGGTAGGGGGGCCTACGTGACCATGGCAGGGTGAGTGGACCCCAGGGGACCCACCTAAGCCACGGAATGTCGTCCGGCCCTGAAGGGAGGGAAGCACCGAGCCGCCCTACAGCCCACCTGAGCCCTGCGGATGCGAGCGGAGCTCAGCAGACAGACGCAGGCCCCCCGCACTGGGCGATGTCGCTTCCACAGAGGGTCCGGAGCAGGGGACCCAGAGCGATACAAGGTGGATCAGTGGTTGTTAGGGCCTGGAGTGGGGGGAGGGGCAGAGGAGGGACCCGTGGGGATAGTCAGGGTCTCCTTAAGGGGTGATGGAAGTATCCTCAGACTGGGGGGCTGAGGGCTGCACGCCTCTGTGAACGCATAGAAGCCGCTGGACTGTGTGTTCTCAGGGACAAATTCTACGGGATATGAGGCATGTCTTGATGAAGCTAGTATTTTTTTTAAATGTTTTATTTATTTCCGAGAGAGAGAGAGAGAGAGAGAGAGCGTGAGCAGGGGAGGGTCAGAGAGAGAGGGAGATACAGGCTCCAGGCTCTGAGCCAGCTGTCAGCACAGAGCCCAACACGGGGCTCGAACCCATGAACAATGAGATCATGACCTGAGCCAAAGTTGGACACTTAACCAACTGAGCCACCCAGGTGCCCCGAAGCTAGTATTTTTAAAAATCAATGAATAAGATAAAGGTTTTTTTTTTAATTAAAAACAGGTCTTTTTTTCAGTTTATTTATTTTGAGAGAGAGAGACAGAGACAAAGAGAATGAGGAGGGGAGCGACAGACAGAGAGGGAGGAAGAGGATCCCAAGCAGTCTCCGCGCATCAGCACAGAGCCCAATGCGGGGCTTGAACTCATAAACCGTGTGATCATGACCTGAGCCGACACCAAGAGTCAGATGCTTAGCTGACCCATCCACCCGGGCGCCCCCCAAATTGATCTTTAAAAGATCATGTTAACAACAGATTGACCACCCGGACCCATCACGGTGCACAGCTCTGCCTCTAAATTCAGCCACACTTTGCCAAACGACCTCAGCTCTTTTGTTGAGGAAACGAAACACTACAGACATAGTTTAAGCCTCTCTCTATTCCAGTGCCTTCTCCCCACCTGGAGGTAACCACAATCCAGAACCCCGAGAACGTTCCTCGTGTGAATGGTTGCATCAGGAGGGGCACAGCCACAGAGTGGGTTCCCCTGTGGCCTGAGGATTGACTGGGGTCATGTATTAATACAAATGACCTTGAACACAGCAGGCCATGAGGGAGGGCCAGGTGCTAAATGCTGTGTTCTGTGTGACGTTCACTGATGCAAAGTCTGAAAGCACGTGAACCCGTGCTCTGAGCTCGGGGCGGGGGGGGGAACACACGTGACGGAAAGTATAAAGTGAGGACCTGGATGGGCTGTCTGAGGGGTTCAGTCGCTTAAGCGTCCGACTTCAACTCAGGTCATGATCTCGCGGTTCATGGGTTTGAGCCCCATGTTGGGCTCTGTGCTGACAGCTTGGAGCCTGGAGCCTGCTTCAGATTCTGTGTCTCTCTGTCTGCCCTTCCACTGCTCGCTCTCTCTCCCTCTCAAAATAAATAAGTAGACATAAAAAAATGAGGACCTGGTTATCACAGACCTCATTCTTGCCTTCCTTCTGTGGTCCCAACTCAGTGGACATTCTGGCTGCACCTAGGGGCTCATTCCCTGTGAAGGGACCAGCTGTGGTCTGATTATTTCCTCAGGCTTCCAGGTGAGTGATCCCACATGCCACGTGCGAGCTAGCCACGAGCTGCCTGAGTGGCTAAGCAAACCGAGGCCCATCCGGACCTGGGAATAGTATACACTACTAAAAAGGAATGAGCTATGAAGCCAGGAAAAGCCAGGGAGGCACCGAAACGCATATGCCTCAGTGACAGAAGCCGTGCTGGAGAGGCTACAAACCGTATGATTCCAACCGTATGCCATTCTGGAAAAGGCACAACTATGGAGACGGTAAAAGGAACAGTGGGGTTGCAGGGGTGGGGGAGGGAGGGCTGACTAGGCAGAGCACAGAAGATTTTCAAAGCAGTGAAAATACCCTGTATGACACTGTAATGGTGGGTACATGTCATCACACAGTTGTTCAAACCCACTGTCCAAGTGCAAGGACATTACACATTTGTCCACAATGCCAAGAATGCACTCTCATGTGAACTAAGGATTTACGTAGTAACAATGTACTCAAGGGGTGCCTGGGGGGCTCAGTCGGTTAAGTGTTCAACTTCGGCTCAAGTCATGATCTCACAGTTCATGGGTTTGAGCCCCGCATCCGGCTCTGTGCCGTCACTTGGAGCCTGAAGCCTGCTTCAGATTCTGTGTCTTCCTCTCTGCCCCTCCCCTGCTCATTCTCTATCTCTCTCTCAAAAATAAATAAACATTAAAAAATTTAAAAATAATAATGTACTAATAATTGGCTCATCAATTGAAATAAAGTTCTATACCAATGCAAGGTGTTAAAAATAAGGGCACACTGTGCAGGGGAGGGGTCCTGGCAGTCTGTACTATCTGCTCAATTTTCCGTACACCTGACACTGCTCTAAAAATAAGTCCATTAAATTTTTTTTAAAAAGTAAGTGAAATTAGGGGCACCTGGGGGGCTCAGCAGGGTAAGCGTCTGACTTCGGCTCAGGTCATGATCTCATAGTTTGTGGGTTTGAGCCCCATGTGGGGCTCTATGCTGACAGCTCAGAGCCTGGAGCCTGCTTTCAGATTCTGTGTCTCCCTCTCTCTCTGCCCCTCCCCCGCTCATACTCTGTCTCTCAAAAATAAACATGAAATTTAAAAAAAAATAAACTGGAATTAAAAATAATCCCCAAATCTGGGATGCCTAGGAGGCTCAATGCGTTGAACATCTGGACAACTTCGGCTGAGGTCATGACCTTGTGGTTCGTGAGTTCAAGCCCCGCGTCGGGCTCTGTGCTGACAGCTTAGAGCCTGGAGCTGCTTCGGATTCTGTGTCTCCCTCTCTCTCTGCTCCTCTCCCTGCTTGTGCTCTGTCTCTCTCTCTCTCTCAAAAATAAATAAACATGAAACAAAATTAAAAATAGCTCCAAAATTAAAAATAAAGCTAACACCGTGGCATAGCAGAAAGGAGACATTTTTTTTTGGTTTGTGGTAATTTTAGGGTTTTTTTTCCTTCTCTCTGAAATCAAATGCTAACTAGCATGGGTGATGGGGATGAAGAAGGGTACTTGCAGTGATGGGCACCGGGTGAGGCATGGAAGTGTTGAATCACTATATTGTACCCCTGCAGTGAATATTAACCTGTAGGTGAACTAACTAGAATTTAAATAAAAACTTAAAGAAATGCTAACTAGGAGACCATGACAACTGATGCGCCAAAGAGCTGGAAATGGTCCCAAGCTCAAGTTCTTTTTTTTTTTTTTTTCAAGTATTGGGAATCTTTCGGCTTTATTGAGGTATAATTGACTAATAACAATTGTACATACTTGCGGGGTACAGCCTGGTGTTTTGACAGACACATGCATGCCCTGTGAACAGGGTGCCACAATCAAGCTAGCAGACAGCAGTTTGCACAGATGCTGCTTTCTTTTCTTCCCCTTCTTCTGTGGTGAGAACACCTAAGGCCTCCCATCTCAGCCGATGTCAAGTGCACAGAACAGTATGTTAACTGGGTCACCCCGAGCGATTCTTGTGTTTCTCTTGTGACATTTAATGGCCACAGAAACCAAGGCGACGGATGTAGAAAGTGAATTAACATTAACAATATGCATACGTTCACCACATATATTCAAGAACACACGGTCTCCTGGGCAAAGAAAGCGCTCCGCACACACACGTGAACCTTTCCCACAGGATGGGCAATATTCTTCAATGTCACATGTGCGTTTTGTTGACAATAATTTCCGCTCCACAAAGGGGACAAATTGAAAGCGCATCCAGTGTGTGTTCTGCCCTGATAGAGAAGACACATAGTGTGTCACGGCCATCCGTTTTGTTTTATATAAATAATCAGTGTGGAAAGTAAATAATCCCAAGTCAGGGTGGGTCTGACTGGTTACAAAATCTGGCCCAGCGATCTTGTTCCTGGAGGTGTTTCCTACCGAGAGTCCCCAGTGCCTGGCACACGCGTGTTAGGTCCGCGAGAAGGGGGGACTCCCACGGCCCGTCCACACTCCGGAGCACGGAGCGCGGGGCTGCAGGAAAGGGAGAGCTCGTGTCCCAGCCGGAAATGCTTCCCAGTTTGGCTGGTGAATGGACACATGACCGTATGTGTGTGTGTGTGTGTGTGTGTGTCTGCATGCACACGTGTGTGTATGTGTGTGCGCGCACGTGCGTGTGCAGGGTGGGGGAGATTAAGTTTTCCCTGCATGTCCTTGGGTACCTCCTGGATTTGACCCACTTGGGTATAGTAAGGCAAAGTGTTTAAATAAACACAGCTTAAATATCAAGAAGACAAGGAGGGAGAGGAGACGTCAAGAGTCTGTCTTGCTAGAGGTGACCGTTGCCCAGGTGCGCGCATGTGTCTGAAAACACCAAAAGCCCTCACGCCTGATAGCTTAACCACACTCTGAGGCTCAGCGCCTCCGACTTAGGAAAATGGCGACAAATGCATCATGGCCAACACAAAGGGGAGGCGGTGTGTAAAAGTTTAACGAGCAAGGGGGTCACTGCCAAGTGCAGACGCTCTCAGGGATACAGGCAAGGCTGTGCTGTGGGAGCCGTGGGACGGAAGTGTCAGCTGTGGACACAGGTGACCCCGCGGGACACAGAGAGCCGGGGGGCCCAGCTGTGGACACAGGTGACCCCACAGGCCACAGAGAGCCGGGGCCCAGGGCCCAGCCTTCCCCACTGGGGAGTCCCAGCAGCCAGGGCCAGCGGCGCGTCCCACGCAGGTGCCATGTCCTGGCAGGGAGGATGTGCAGGAAAGCATTCTTCATTCAAGACGGCCCAGGCAAAGAGAGGGGACCCGCATCCTCCGCCCGCCACAGCCCATCCTTGTGTTTAAAATTTTTTTATCTTTATTTTTTTGAGACAGAGAGAGACAGAGGGGCAGAGAGAGGAGGAGACACAGACTTGGAAGCAGGCTCCAGGCTCTGAGCTGTCCACACAGAGCCCGATGCAAACTTAAGAACTGCGAGATCATGACCTGAGCCGAAGCCGGATGCTTAACCGACTGAGCCACCCGGGCGCCCCTAGTCTGCCCCATGTATAAATGAAAGCCTAAGGAGTTAGGGGAAACCGGCCGGGAGAAGAAGAAAGCGGCTCATGAAATTTCTGGTGATGCCTCTGACGCTACAATTTAAAATTTCTGTTCGCTTAAAAACAAGCGGCTGTCACATAGATGTGTCGGAGTGCATGGCAGGACCCGGGGCCGGGACAGAGCTCAGGGCGCCTCGGCCACGGTCCCCGCGGGCCTGGCCGCGCTGCCTGACGGCTTCTGCGGAACGAGGGCAAACTAAAAGCTTTTCGAGACAAAGAAGCCGGCTCCAGCCAGGGGTGGGGTCAGTTACCTGCGCGTTAGAGGAGGCTTCGCTCCACCTCCGCCCACCCAGGCTGCACCGACCCGGCCGGGGAACAAACAGCCCCTGTGCTGTCCCCTCTGCCGGTGCCGGACTGAAGTCAGCCACTTTGGGGGTGACGCCCCCGCTCAGGCACCATTTCCCACGAGAGCCCCTTCAGCAGCCTTGAAATCACTTGTAACAACTGACAGAAAACACTAGAAGCAAAGCCAGGTGCCCCTCAGTGACGATAGATGCACATGATTGTAAAGGCGAGCTGTGCGCCTTTACACACATATACATGTACATACGCACGTATACAAATACATAGTGCCCGCCCCCCCACGTTAAATACTTTGCTCGTGCAGTTGCCCAGCGGTGACACCCGCGCCGGCTGGGGGCAGACGGTCAGAGCGACCCAGCCTGCAGTCCCCCTGGGCCCCTGCTGTGTGCTGCTGGGCCAGGAGCACACCCTCTCTGTGCCTGGCTCCTCATCTGCAGTTGGACCAGAGGTACAGCCTCCAGGGAGCCGTTCAGCGACACACACACACACACACACACACACACACACACACACCCCGCCGGCCGTCATGCCGCGGACCCTGGGCGACACCAGGGGCCGGGGCTCCCGGGCCGGGCGGCCGCGTCCCCAGGCGCACGCGGTCCTGCGGCTTACCGCATCGGTTCTCGTCCTCGCCGCTGGGGCAGTGCAGGACCCCGTCGCACCAGTGAGAGGGGCTGACGCAGGTCCCCGAGGAGCCGCACTCGATCCCGGACACCAGGCACTTCTTCTCCACTTGCAGGGGCAGGGGAGGGAGAGCAGTCAGCAGGGGGCCCCAGGAAAGCCTCAGGCACCCCCCGCGGACACCGGCGCCCCGCCCGCTCTCCGAGCCCCAAACAGCAGGAGAGAGACGGTTCCCCCTTTATCTTAATAAGGGGCGATGGGTCCTTGCCACCATCATCTACCAAAGGGAACAGGGCTGGCCATCAGCAGCGGGGGGGCAGGGGGATGTGCACCACATCTGGGGGCTGGGAGGGGCTCCCAGCCTTGGACTTGGACAGCACTCCGACCTTCCTCAAGTGACTTCTGTGGTCTGTAAATGCCAGTCCACACTGCCCCGGGCAGACGGCAAAGGCCAGGCTGTGGTTAATGAGCTGGCGCGGGCAAGGTAGCAGGCAACGCTGCACAGAGCTCTGGGGGACAGGTGGCCCCGGGCGGCGCCTAGCGCCCCGAGCACCGGGGAAACCCCCGTGGTCAGGGCTCCACCAACAGCAGGGGATTCTCGCAACCCACGGGGTGGGATGAAGCGGGAGAGGGACTCCTAAGAGGCAGGACCCTGAGGCTGGAGGAGAACGGGGTCACAAGCAGAAGCAGAGCCCCACCCCCAGGGGCCAGGGCGCCCCGCGAGGCCGCTCCGCACTTACTGAACTTCCAGAGCAGGACGGCAGCCAGCACGACCCCCACCAGAACGGCCCCCAGGGTGAAGGTGACACACAGCACTTTCTTCGCCTCTGCGGAAAGGGGGCGGGCACACCATGCAGCGGCAGACTTTTCTAGAAGTCGTACTCTCACATTTTACCGCTATGTGTATAGTACAGCATATCAAGAGATAATAACTTTTTAAAAGTTTATTTAATTATTGAGAGAGAGAGAGAGAGAGAGCAAGTGTGGGAGGGGCAGAGAGAGGGAGAGAGAGAATCCCAAGCAGGCTCTGCGCTGTCAGCACAGAGCCCGACGTGGGGCTCAAACCCACACACCGGGAGATCATGACCTAAACCAAAGTCAGATGCCCAACCCACTGAGCCACCCGGCCGCCCTGTAATAACTTTTTATACACTTAAAAATGAGAGGTGGAATAAATTGTCTTACTCGAGGCCATTTAGTGAATGGGTGCCACAGATCCACAGCGCCCCATTCGACAGCCACCAGCCACACGTGGCTGTTTGCACTTCACTTACTCATCATTAGATTTATTAAATAGTTACGTAAATTCAAATGCTCAACAGACACGGGGCCAGGGACTGCCAAGCGGAAAGGGCAGGCGTACAACATTCCCATCTCTGCGGAACGTTCCAGCGGGCAGTGCTGACCTCAGCCATTTGGTTGGAGGAGGAGCACTCCGCTCAAGTCTCAGCTAAGAATAAAGTCGTTTGCAGAAGGTCACCAGCGTTCTCTAGTCAAAACAAAACGACTGGCCTTTGTCGATCAGAGTGCGAGCCAAAAGCCTTAAAGGTTGAGAGGGCAGGGCCAGACACGGTACCCCCAGCAATTAGTGACTGGAGGAGGCGGGAAGTGGGGGGGGGGCTGAAGGTAGAGAAGCAGAGGGGAGGGAGGGGGAGAAGGAATTCAGCAGAGCCTCCAACCCCCCTCAGTTTATCGGAAGACACCCAGGTGGGTGTCCCGGAGTGTGGAGTGGGCCTGGGCACCCCACCTGTACACGTCTGTGCTTCTGGAAGTCACCGGGACTAGAGTCCAGCTTCTGGGGTCAGGTGGACTAGAGCTGACCCGGCTGTTTGGGCTCAAACCACGCCTCTCATCTTGTGATTGCATTCTCACACGGTAGCCTGCTAACCAGTTTTCCTGGCCCCGATCACCAGGAACTGGGATTCCACTGGGGGCGGGGAGGCGTGAATTTGCAACCTAAGAAGCTCACGGGGGAGGCGGAGGCCACCTGTCTGAGGAGAGCCCTGAAGTTATCAGAACCGGGTGAACAGCGATCTCTCCTCAGGGCTGGGCAGGGCGGAGTGGCGGGGAACGGTCCCTGGGGAAATTCCAAATGGCCAGTTTGACTCCTTGGTCAAGGACAGTTCCTCCCTTGGGGAGGTGGGGAGGGCTTCCCTGTACGCTGTTTCATCTAGGATAACATAACGAGCCTGGTGAGCCAGGAGCTATTAAGTATTCTGAACCTCTCACTGGGCGTTGGGCAATCTGCCTCGCTCTCACTAGGAGCAGGTATGCAGCGGGACCCTCCCCTCCCCCCCCATCCTACCTTCGCTAAACAGGCATCTTGCAATCAGGGTCTGGTCGGCCCAGACCTGACTTGGTGCCGGTTTGCAATTGTGCTACTATTGGGTTTAATCACAACTTATTATCCCTGTACCTTCATCGTTATCGGTTTAGTTGGCTCTTGACTCAGCCCTACGGTGTCCAGGGCCAAGTATCTTCATCACTGACTGTTGGCCTTCAATTCTCCAAAACCCAGTCTCTAAGAGCTGCGTGCATTGGGGACGCAGGGTGATACATTTAGGACTGTTGTCACAGCAGATAGATACGTTATGTCCCCAAATGGCCCTTACACTCCTGAATCCGTGCTATATAAGCGGCTTGCAAAATACTGTCGAGGCCCTGACAAGGCTACGTTCTGTGAGATTCCAAGTACCTGACGTTCTGGAAACAGCAAAACTATGGAGACGGAAACCACTGGTTGACAAATGTTGGAGAGAAGGGGGTGGGGGGACGGAGGGGATTGTGTGGGCCCTGAAACTCTCCTGCACTTTCCTGTAACGACAGCCATGCCAAGATACATTTGTCAAAACCCACAGAACATACAAGGGAAAGTCTCTGATGCTAATGTAAAACTATGGACTTCAGTTAATGACAATGTATCAATATCGGTGCATCGATTGTAACAAGAGGAGCACATTGAGGTAAGAGGAGGGGACAAACCCGGGGGTAAGAGGAGTAAGTGGAACTCTGCACTCAACTGTTCTGGAAGCCTAAAAAATATTCTAGAAGCTAGTCTATTACAAAAACATTTCCAAGGTCAAACATTAAACTTATAAAATGTACACTGTTTCTATGGAAGTCAATAAAAATGTGTCAAGGGTAGGAAGCTCACTAAGCTAGTTTTTTGAGTTGAAAGGGCGGCTTTATAATGCAAAATCACACAAGTAGGTTCATGGTCTTCCCTTCTAAAGTCACTGATAAGGGCAGTACAGACTCCCGTCCAATTGCCTATCACCAGGTTTTCCCCAGAAGAGTGGAAATGCCGGGGTCAGGCAAGTGGGCTCCTGTTGTCCTGGGTTGCGCGGTCACTAGGATCAACTCCGCCCTTGGAAGGTGCTGACCTCAAAAGGGGACCCTTGGGGGATGCCTGGGCGGCTCAGTTGGTTGGGCGTCCGACTTCAGCTCCAGTCATGATCTCGCAGTTCATAAGTTCGAGCCCCGCGTCGGGCTCTGTGCTGACAGCTCACAGCCTGGAGCTGCTTCCGATTCTTCGTCTCCCTCTCTCTCTACCCCTCCCCTGCTTGTCTCTCTCTCTTTCTCTCTCAAAAATAGACAGTAAAAATAAAAAGTAGAGGTTGACAGACAGAAGGAAGGGCCAAGAGCAGTTTGTGAAGGACGAGGGAAGGCGAGGGAGGTGCTGGGGCGGAATTCAGGGCGACAGTGCTGGTTAAGGGCTGCCGGGGTCTGGGAGCGAGCACACGGGGACCTGCAGCAGCACGCGTTATCAGGACGCGCTTCTACGCTATGTGCTGGGGCGTGTGGAGACCCACCTTACTATTAATCTTTAACCATCCAAGCTGTGTGTGCATGCATGCTTGCAAAAGAAAAACACCGACAAACCACTTAGTACCAGCACTGCTTACACTGGTCCACTGCCGTAGTTTCCCTGGGCAGGTCTTTACACGCCCACCAGCCTGCATTAAAATCTGGGGGGTGGGGGGGCAAGGAGCAAGGGGCTGAACAAGCATTAGAAAGGAGCACTCGGCATGAAAGGGACAGCAAAGGACCACAGCCTTCGAGCCCTCCCCTGCTCCGTGCCTGCCTTGCTCAGTCCACAAGATCCTTTTTTTATTTCTAGGAGAGAGAGAGAGAGACAGCGTGAGCAGGGGAGGATTAGAGAGAGAGGGAGTCACAGACTGAAACAGGCTCCAGGCTCTGAGCTGGCAGTCAGCACAGGGCCCGACGTGGGGCTCGAACCCACGAACCGCGAGGTCATGACCCAAGTGAAAGTCGGACGCTTAACCGACTAAGCCACCCAGGCGCCCCCACAGGATCCTTTTTTAATTTAATTTAATTTTTTAATGTGTATTTAAAAAATTTTTAAGGCTTATTTTATTTTTGAGATATATATAGAGACAGAGTGAAAGCAGGGGAAGGAGGCAGAGAGAGAGGGAGACACAGAATCTGAAACAGGCTCCAGGCTCTGAGCTGTCAGCACAGAGCCCGATGCAGGGCTTGAACCCACGAACTGTGAGATCATGACCTGAGCTGAAGTTGGATGCTCAACCGACTGAGCCACCCAGGCGCCCCATGTATTTATTTATTCTGAGAGAGACTGTGTGAGCAGGGGAGGGGCAGAGAAAGAGAGAGAGAGAGAGAGAGAGAGAATCCCAAGCAGGCTCCACATTCGATCCCACAAACCGTGAGATCAGACCCTGAGCCCAAACCAGGAGTCGGCCGGTTAACAGACTGAGCCACCCAGGCGACCCCTCCCCCTCCCACGGGACATGAGACACTTCCGTGTGACAACCACACCAGCCACTTCATTCGCTGAGCACAACGCTCCTGTCCGGCGTCTCAAACACGACTCGCGGTACCCAGGGGGCCACACCGCAAAGCAGGGGTGGGGAGAGGTTCCCGGCTTAATGTCCTTTCAACATGGCTCATCGACAGGCCCCACAGGCGAGAGAGGGACGGGGTGCCTGGTGTGCAGCCAAGGCTGGCGCAGGAGGCTTAAGGAAAGTGGGGAGAGGGCTTCACGCCCCAGCGGCTCCCAGAGGACCCCGGGCAGGAGGCGAGAAGCGCAGTGGCAGCTTTGGAGGCGAGGGAGGGGGGAAGGCGTCGGACCAGCCCCAGCAGACGGACAACGGTTAGCGACAGAGCCCACTGCAGAGGACGGGCCCCAGGACCAGTGCTCTTGTAGGAAATAAATGCAGAGGGGTCCTACTTGAGGTGCACACCGCCGACGGGGACTTGGGCTGCGTGTGGCTGCTGGGCGTGGAAGCGTGCGTCAGCACCCTCGGCGAGTACTGGGGCACCGCGGGCGGGTAGTACGGTGCCGGATACACCACGTAGGCACTGGGGACCGCGGTGGGCGGCACGGGGTACGGGCTTTCAGGCTGGTATCCGTGGTTTTCATAGTAAGGTCCGACACCTCCCGGAAGGCCCTGAACAACAAAAAAGAAAATGAATCACATAAAACCCCAGTTACCCTAAAGATTACACGTCCATCCACAGCCCTTAGACAAGGCACTGAAAAGGCTGCTGCACATTCTTGTTGGGCTGAACACGGAACTTACCCAGAGTGAGAACTAGCCAGAGCTTTTTATTTGTTGCCAATAGTTTTTGTACTTGTTTGGTCACTAAGCATTTTTTAAAATTCTTTAATGTTTATTTATTATTGAGACAGAGAGAGATAGAGCGTGAGCAGGGGAGGGCCAGAGAGAGAGGGAGACACAGAATCTGAAGCAGCTCCAGGCTCTGAGCTGTCAGCACAGAGCCCGACGCGGGGCTCGAACCCACGAATCGGCGAGATCATGACCTGAACCGAAGTCAGATGATTAACTGACTGAGCCACCCAGGTGCCCCACTAATCATTTTTTGAAGTAAAGAGAAAGTCAACACTGAGCTTTAGTAAAAAAAAATTTAAAAAAAAGAAAGAAAGAAAGAAAGAAAAAAAGAAAAGAAGAAGTCCGGGGATGGGTCAACACCCAAACCCCGGGGAGCAGGTACGACTCATGTACTCATTTTGCATAGACAAACATGAGTAATAGAGGCTAAGAAACTTACCTAAACATCCACACTATCCATGCTCTTCTAAAAATTCTTTCTCTATCTCCTCTTCTCTTACAGAGGACATTTAAATAGTTTGCAGTTGGGGGCTGTGGGCACACACGTGTGTAGGGTGCCTGAGGGGTTTGGTTGCTGCCTCCCGCCCCCTCCCCTGAGGGGAACCGTGGGGTCTCAGTGCACAGCGCATGGAAAGGGCTGCCCCAGCCGGAGCGTTTTTCCGGCTCCATCCATTTTCTCCAAGTGCCCTTCTCCTCTCCCTCTGCCTAAACGCTGCCATCTCGCAGCTGCCCCCTCAAAACCGCAGCCGGCCCCCTCTGGACCCCACTGTGTCCTCTGTTTCCAAACCTCCTGTTTCTTGTTGACCTTGGCTTCCGATAGGACTGGTATCCTGAGCAGAGGCAATGCAATGCTTAGCATTCTAAGTGGGGCCCTCCAGGGAAACGAGATTGTACAGGAAGGAGCCAAAGGCGGGCTCTCAGAGTTAACCTGTGCTTAATAACTCACTGAGGCTCTCCTTCAGAAGTCCAAAGATTGTAACTCGGAACCAGAGTAGCGGACAGAAAGGGAAACAGTATAATCTCTAATCTAAATGGGGCGCCAGAGGCAAAAAAAAAAAAAAAAAAAAAAGGAGTACATGTGTTTGGTCCTTATCAGAAGCATCTAAGAACATGTCGTCCCACCCAGGAGAGGTTGTAGCAGGCACAGAGGTCTATCCCAGCAACATCTTGTTCAGTGGATATGAAATTTTAAATGGACCCTGTGAAAATAACTATAAGCAACTGCTAAAACAGGGAAAAACATAAAGGTCTATTCTCCAGATAGAAGATATGGAAGATTGTTGTTATTAAATACAACTCTGTATCAAATGCACGCATTCCTAGGTATAAGGTAAATCAGTGAGATGTAATGGGGAACAAAGAAACCACATTTGTCTCCAGAGCTGTTGGGGGGTGGGGGCATCCAGGGACAGGGATGGTTAGCCCAATGCTACATTGGGTCACAGGTTCCTCCAGTTTATCAGGACACCCGGCTGCACAGGTTGCTGTGGTCCTTCCCTGGGATTTACTCCCTCCCAGCACCCTCCTGGCCCTTTTCCTTTCGCACATCTTACCCTCAAACCCACCTGCAGGGCAGGAAGAGAAGAGGCCCCACTATGAGCAGTGCACATACCCCACAACCGCCCCCCAGCTCCGAGGCACTCTCATGGGGCGTGGCTGCTGCGTGCCCGCACCCTGACGCACTCCTGCCCGCCCTCACTGAGAGGGCCCTGACCAGCACCTGGGAAGCACACACATTCCCTGCAGCCAGCTCTTAAAATGCTGCCCAAAACACACCTCGGAACATAACAGCAAGAATTAAGGGCACAAAGAAAAGGCTGGGGAGGTAATTATTAACCACTTACTGAGTTTAAAGCCATCCTGATTTTATCAGCAGCATCAGGTAATGGTAGAGATTTGGAACGTTCAAGATGACCTAGAAGACAGAATGATAAGAATGTAGTATTTCCATACCGGTTAGTTTTTAGGAGACATGTGGAGAAAGAACTAGAAGACTTTATGGGTGAGAGTTAGCTCTCTCCGGAGAAAACGGCAGTTTTACCAGTTCACCTTGGCCCTCACCTTTGCCTGCCTCTTCCCCACACACGTGGAAGGAGCCCGGTGCTTGTCTGCGTTAGGGCCCAAGGCCAATGGCACTTAACACAGTTCTGACCAGAGGCCGAGACATAGCCAGGCTGCCTCTTGCAATAGAAGCAGGTGCGAGGTGCCTCCCAGACCCTCAAGTTCAGGCCAGGTTAACTGTGGGCAGAGACCCGGGGTCAGCTCGTGGCAACACCCCTTCCTGGAGGGAACACTGCTCCAGTGCCTGAACCTCTCTGAATCTGGGACAGAAATGGATGTGGAGTTGGGCACGGTCCCGTTCTGTGAGGAGTTAATGAGGGGGTCCAAGAGAGCAACAGCTGGCCAGGCGATGCTCCCTCCCTGGCTCCTGAAGGGCCCCCGGGGACAGGGGTGGGGAGGCGGGAACCGCCCATGGAGCAGGTGGTCCGGAACTTAGTACCAGAGGCAGCTCACGCCTGCCTTTCTAAATAAGCCCCATGGACTCTCCCACTTCTTAATAAATACATGTAAAAACAACTGTAAAACGCGCCCATTACACCCCATACTACCCCGAATCCAAAAAAAGCTTTCAGAATTGACCATTTTGATAGCTTCTAAGGTTAGCAGTAATGGAAAGAAGGTGCTCTTGTTTGCAGATGTCTGCAAACAGTGGACAGGAATTTCTGGAAGAGCCATCCACACGGAACCCTTTATAGAAAAGGCCCCATTCGGGCATCATTCTCTCCCTCTTGTGGGCAGATGAAGGGCTTCTCCCCTCCCCTCCGTGCTGCCTTGGGATGACCAAAGAATACTGCAAGAAATGGCCCTCCCCACCCTCCACCCACAAGACCATGTGCCCAGTGGGAAAGTTCTGGGCTTCATAGCACCTGTAAAGTGCCTGGCACACGGCAGGGGCTCGAACGGCAGCAGGCAGCACACAGCAGTGGGGAAGCCCGTTACCCCCAGGACCTGGGACCTGGGACCTGAGGCAGATCAGCTGATGTCCCCATGCCCCAGTGTCCTCCTCTGCCAAAGGAGATGAGAGAGGCCAGCACTGCCGCCTGATGAGGTGTGAAATGAGTTGGTGCCATTGTAGCTCTCAGTGCCTGGTGCACGGTCAGTGCTGCAGACATTTCTGTTAAATAAAAGTGATTATAAAGCTGATAGACATTGCCTCCGGGGGGGCATGGGGGGGATGGGGACCGACAGGAGGCATTTGCGGATTTGCATCAGGTGCCTCCCCCCAACTAGCAAGTCCACCTGCTCTGAAAACCCAGTGGAGAGAAATGCGACAGAGCAGGCTCCCGTCCACCACTGCCTTCTGTCTTCCGAGCACGGTAATTTATCACTGGACTCGCGAAACTTAAAACACACGTTAACCTGCTGTAAATAAAAGCGTGAGGATGGTTTTCTAATCTTGGGAAACCTCACTGAACAGGTCACAATAAAAAGGCGCCAAGTCACTTCGTTACTGTTCACCTAAAGCACACGTGAGTTCATATGGAGAGCTTTGAGATTTGTTAACTTTAAAATAAAAAATGGGTCGATGCTGTTCTAGGTACAAGGAAAGAAAACTGACCAGAATACAGTCGGGGGAGGGGGGGCGGAGGGTCACCATGGAAACCTTTACGTGGTGTGATTGTCACATATTAAAACACCTGTCCAGGGAACCTGGGTGGCTCAGTGGGTTAAGTGTCTGTCTCTTGATTTCAGCTCAGGTCGTGATCTCACAGTTCATGAGTTCGAGCCCCAAGTTGGGTTCTGTGCTGACAGCAGGTAGCCTCTCTCTCTCTCTCTCTCTCTCTCTCTCTCTGTCTCTCTCTGCTCCTCCCCTACTCTTTGTCTCTTTCTCAAAATAAATAAGTAAACTTAAAAAAAACAACAACCCCACCTGCCCTACGTGATCCCCTTGAAGAACAAGGGCTCCGAGACTCGATGCCCGTACGGTATCTCCCACTCCCCTCTGGTCCAAGCTGGGGCAGAAAGAAGATCACTGCATGTCCCTAAGGTGACTTTCCGAAGCACTCCGCCAAAGCTCACATTCTCACCCCTCCGGTTTCTGGCTCCCTGCGCCTCTGAGCTGTCTCACCAGTTATAGGTTTGGGTGAAGTTTCAGGAAATGAAAATTCGATCCCCCTGGCAGCTTTCCCAGCTCAAGAGCCCTCTGAAGGGAATGATCAGTCAATGCGCGAAATCTATGCTTCTTATTCATTCGAGATCTCTAACAGCGAGAGACAGGGAAATCAGGGAAGGAAGGGGCACAGGGGGCTGTAGCCATGAATGATCCAGTAAAAGCCACAGGACCCAGAAGCCACGCCAGGATAATCCGATCTCATCCAGAGATCCCACGACCCACAAAACCTTAGAGCCAGAACAGCCAGTGCGCCCAGATCAGCCCCCCGCGGACTTTGGAACCGAAGACGAGGGTCACGCTGCTGTCATTTTCTCTGGCTGGAAAGGAAGGGGCAGGGTCTCACTCTGGCACTGGGTCTGTAGGAAGCACTGCTCAGGAGGCCACACAGGGTCGGGTTCATCTTCAAAACTGGTGCTTGCAGAAATAATGGCATGTGTCACAAAACCACACAACACCACGAAACAAACACAACACCCTACGCACTTCCACAGCAAAGCAAATCTCTTCCACTGGTTTTTGAACAGAGCAAGACAGCCTAGATGGTGAGAGACGCCCTGTTTCTCAAACATTCTTTCCTGTCATTTAAAGGACACAGATGATTGTCCTCGATTCCGGAAAGCCAGCCATAACGAAGCACTTTTTCTCCAAGTGACAAAAGAGCCAATGTTTGACCAAGCTCCCAGCCCCTCCCCCTCCTGTGCTCGGCCAGCTGCCCACGCCGGCAGCCATGGAACGGTCCACTTGAGTCACACAACACGACATGGTCGTTTTGGTCACTTGAGGCTCTCTCTTCAGAGAGCTGAGTCACCCCAGCACCTGTAGTACCACTGCTCAGCAGGACTGTGCCGCGGAGTGCTGACTGCAGCCCGCGACGTCGCGGCACTATTTCCAAACGGCAAGTCTCTTCTTTGGAAATCTCAGAAAGCATTTGCTGGAGACTTATTTTGAAAACCACCAAACCCACGAGGTCTGCCTCATAGATTCCCACGCAGGGGGTCTGGGATGTTCCCCATCCGGAAGTCTCTGCCAACTTCACCGCACACCACCGTTCATGCACTGGCTGCTGCACTGAGCACCGCCGGGTGCCTTCAAGATGCTTGGGGGTGTGATGAGGTGATTCCTTGTCCCCTGTACCCCTTCTTCAAACTTCGAGGCCAGCGACACCAATAGACACTCCTTATCCAACGAACAAATGATCAGTGAGAGCCCCTTTATGCCTCAACTGTTGCATAAAGTCACATGATCTGAAAAGATGCCCTCTTCTCCTGTTGAGGATACTGAGTGCTGTTACGGGGCGCCTGGGTGGCTTGGTCGGTTAAGCATCCGACTCTTGGTTTCAGCTCAGGCCGTGATCTCGCGATTCGTGAGTTCAAGCCCTGCATCGGGCTCCACGCTGACAGCACAGAACCTGCTTGGGATTCTCTCTCTCTCTCTCTCTCTCTCTCTCTCCCTCTCTCTCTGCCCCTTCCCTGCTTGTGCTCGCTCTCTCAAAATAAATAAATAAACTTTAAAAAATATTTAAAAACAAAACAAAAAACCCCAAAGTGCTGTTAGATACAAATTATCAGAAGCGGTGGGTTTAAGTAGCAACTCAACATAAATGAGTACGAGGCCATCGGACAAAAGGTCTACATGGTGATTCGCACGGGAACACTACCAACACGCAGAGAAGACCTCACCTCAGGAAGGCGACTGCCTGCATTCTCCAGGTTTCTTTTTCTATGAATGCCCCATTGTCCCAGTTGAGATTACAAACTTTTTAGGGCAGGAATTGGGTCGGGTCCTTTTTTCTTTCTTTCTTTTTACAACGAAGCTTTGTAGCATCCAAGAAAGCGTTCCGACATTTCTGGAGTTCCAGAGGCCAGATGAGTAAGACAGAATCGGAGAGACAGAGCACACTGTAAAGTTTGCACCTGCACCAGCCACCAGGTCGGGGACATGGCTGACGAGAGGAGTCCCGAGACGTGCAAAGGCCCCTGCTAGGGGTTGAAGACCTTGCCCAAGTCTATCTGTGGAATGGGATAATAAAGAAATAGGGTTGTTTCGAGGACCAAGTGTGTCCATTTCCAGCATCGTGGCCAATACGTGCTAGGCACTGGATAATAACATCACGACAGCAGCTAAGATTGACCAGCCCGTAGCGAAGGGACTGTCATGTGTGAAAGACATCTGGTTACTCTGTGTAAATCCAAAGGACGAAGCCACAGTCAGAACGGTCAGCAAAATCAGAAAGACAGGTTTAACTCAACCTCGAGAAACCAGATTTCCAACAGCGAAGAAGTTTAGATAATCAACGAATTGCCTTGGAAAGAACACAGTTCCACAAACCAAAGAACGTTTGATCCGATACTGGCGGGTGGGCTCCCCACGCATATGGTCCAAGCATATTCTAGAACGGTACCGAGCTTTGGCTGGGGGGCCAGGCACGATGGGCTTTCAGGTCAGACACCTGAAGAATGAGCTCCAAACCCAGCATCCCTGGTGGGCAGGCTCCACGTCCCCTGAGTTCAGATCAAGGGCTGAAATGAGCTCAGGGATGGGGTCCTGCCAGGATGGCCCCTGCAGAGCAGTGACCTTGAGGGGCTCTGACGCTGGGTGTCATGCATTGTATACCAATAAGTGGTCACGAAGCCCAGGCCACTCCATCTTTCAGTTCAGCTCTCACTTGATCATATTTCTCTGTCGAACGTCCACTGGACACCACCGCCTACTGCTGCCCCCCCCCCCCCCCCCCCCCCCCCCCCCCCCCCCCCCCCCCCCCGCCGAGCCTCCGATCTATTCTGTCGTTGCACGGGCTTCCAGACTGCCGCTCCGGCACCCACCCACCCGTGGCGCCCTTCAAACGTCCCGTTCTCTCTTACCGCACCTCTGCACCCTCAAACACCGGGGATGCCCCCAGCTGAGCTCCGTTTCTACCCAGCAAGCTCTGTCCTTCTCCTCCCCCCTGGACTTGCCTCTACAAACATGTCTTTGGGCCACCTTCCCTCTTCAAAGTTCACACTGGTCATAGTCCACAGGACTGCCCCCACCCCACCAGAAAATCAGGGTCTGCCTTTCTCTCTTGATGCCTCTAAGGCTGACCGTGACATTTCCACACATGCTGATTCCTCTGCTCCCGGCTACGGTGCACTGGCTGGGACAGACCAAGTCCCTGGCCGGCTCTTCTCCTTCCTGACGGCCAGCTCTGCCCCTATGGTGTCCCCCCTTGAACTGCCTGTATGATCAGCCAAGCCCTTTGCTACTCCCCAAGATTCCACATGTACTTGGGGCCAAGAAGGCCAGAGCACAGAGTCCCTGCCATACCCAGGCCCGCTACCCCCGGAGGCTTACAAGCCAGGGCTCGCTGAGATGGCCTTTAGGGTCCCCCCAGCACCAAGCCAGAATGAGACTCAGGGTGCCGGCCCAGCTCAGATCTCTGCGCTCAGATATGTGATGCCCTCACACCCCGTTCCCAGAGGCCACCAACTCATCCCAGGAAGACCCGATGTCAGCAGGTCCTTGTGGGGGTGCCCCGGAAAGGTGGGACAGAGAAGACCAGCAAAGGCTGAGCAGCTGTGGGAAGCAGGATGACCCAGGGGGGGATCTAGAGCACTGGCGGAAACAGACACAGAAAAGCACTCAGACCCCAAGACCCCCTTCACCGCCCCCCCCGCCCCCCAACAGAGGCCGGCTTCCAATCCGCAAGCAACCAAACTGATCACCACTAGTTTAACCCTGTCAATTTTCCTTTCTATTGCCAAGGCTTAGACTTGCCCCTGGCCCCCAAGCCTGGGATTTTCTGGAGAGCTTGGAAAAGTAGATTCCTGAGCCCCGCTCCACTGTCAGTCTGATACAGTGACTGACTGTATCAGGAACCTGGACAATGATCTCTATCTCTTTAGAAAGCTCTCTCGGGACCCCCGCCATAGGTTTGGATGGGAAAGAGTGACGGCCACCGGCTCCTGGTGTGTACTTCCCAGTAGGCCCCCAGGAGTCTGGGCTTCCCTGTCGACCACACATTTTGAGTCTTGTCCTTCAATGTCCCATTAGCTCGGGAGCTCAGCCCTCCCTGCTGCCCCGATGAGGAGTCCCGGACACTCCTGCCTTGATCACTCTGGAAGATTCAGCACGGAGCCCAGGTGGGGCTGTGGGCAGGTGCTCCAGTATTAGGACAGGGGAAGCCAGCCTGGCCCCCAAGCAAGTCTCTTCCGCGTGAGGGTCCCCTGGGCCCCGTGCTCAGCTCCCTGAGCACTTGTCCACAGGGCTCCCGTGGAAGGAAAGGCAGTCACCCCACCTGTCAGAGCCCTAAGGAGCCAGACAGCCAAGCTTCTTCCGCAGGTCTCCCCAGAGCAAGTCGTTCACCCCTGCCTCAGTTTCCCCATAACTAAGTTAAGTACGCTATAAAGAGTTTGGAGTGACAGCTGCCTGGAAGAAAGGCCTCATCTATGTTTGCCGTTATTATCACAACACCAGTGTGGCCACCGTGTCTCTGTAGCTCAGAGACTGAGCCCAGGGCACAGCGGCCACGGGTGGGAGGCCCACGGAGTCTCCGGGCCCCGCAACAGCACAGCGCTGTTAGAAGAAGGCTGACCTTGTGAACGCTGAAGGGGAAAGGAGCTCGGCCTGACTCATCCAAGCCAAGAACAAAGGCCACACGGCTCACAGGTTGGTATTTGGAAACAAAAAACAGAAACAGAGAGGAAGGGGTGGAATGACCAATCCCCAGGCTGAGGCTCTTCCTTGCAGGGACTCTCCCCACCGACAGCTCTTGTGTGAGCGTTTGCTTGCTTGGTCATGCCCTTGCCTTTCCTGGTAACCCCAACCTCCAGTACGGTCTGCAGGAAAAGCTGGGAAAAGGAAGTCGGTGACTTCCAGGGCGCTCCCCCTTCCTGGCCCGCCAGGTCCCCTCACTTCACCCAGAAGCGCAGGCTAGGGGCCTGGGCTCCCTGGGTGCGGGGGGACCCGGGTTCCTGCGCCCGGGTGATCTCTGTCCCGGCTCCCAGCCCCCACCCGCCTTCAGGGGAGCCTGGCACCAGCCTCACTTCCGGGAGAACTTCCCCAACCTCCCAGGCTAAGTCAACAGCCCTCACTTCAGGTTCCTAAACACCTTGCAACTCGGCTCCGGCAGCCTTTGTAAGTTTCCATGATCCGGGGGACCCTCTACAGCTGGAGCGCCAGAGGCACGGGGGTCAGCGCCCCCTGGGGTGCCCCCATCTTAGTCCCAGAACCTCTGCGCACCTTGGAGTCCAGGGGTGGCAGTCTCAGGGCTGAGCCCCGCGTGACGCCCGTCCAGCCGGTGGACCTCCGGCCACCCAGCTATCATTTTCCTCGCAAATGAGCCACTAGGGTTCTTTTGGCGGCGCCCGCAGCCTGGGCCTTGGAAAAGGGCTTTGGGCTTTGGGGTTGCAGGCCACCGCGCTGTGCCCTCGGGTCAGGCGGCCCAGGGCTGCGGGCACGCAAATGGCCTGTGGGCTGTGGGTGCACGAACTTTGGGGCCGTAAGGGAGTTCTTGCGCAGAGCAGGTGGGCGGCAGGCGGGACGTCCGTGCGCTGCCAGGCTGGTGCGCTCCCCGCGCAGCCGCGGCCCGGAGCCCGGTCGGACGGCGTGCGGGGGACCGAAGCCTGGAGAGGGGGTGTGTGTGGGGGGGGGGTCGTCCTTGCCCTGGTCCCGGGCAGGGAGCACGCGTCCGGGACCAGGGCCGCTCCTCCCAGGCGGCTCCCCGCGGACCCCGCTGCGCAGGCCTCCCCGGGGCGGCCGAGCGGTTCGCGCCTCGCCCGGGGGCCCGGGGGAGCCCGTCCCCGCCGCGCCCGCCGCGCCCGCCCTATCGCTCCGGGAATCTCCATGAGTTTCCAGTTTCTCCCCACCTCGGGAGGGAAGCAAGAAGCAGAAGGAGTTCAGGTAACACTCCGCGGCTGCAGAGATTTTCCCGACACAAAGAAACGCAGAGACCACGCTCGGTCCCCCTCGTCCCCCAAAAGAAAAGGCGCACCCCCATGCTCCCCAGCTCCGGGCCCGCTCTGGCCGAGGGGTGGGACCCCGAGAGACTCTCTGCTCTGACCAGTGAGCCGGGGCTCGGAGCAGCGTGTCCGGACGCGGCCGCCGGGCCTCCGAGCGGCGCCCCGCGAGGTCCCCACCGAGGGCGCGTCGGCCCCCCTGCCCCCGGCGTCCCGCCGGCGGGAAGACGCACCTGCTGCTCACACCTGGCCTCGCCTCCAGCCGCCCCCCACCCCCCCAGCGCGGGGGGCGCTTGGGTTGCCCACCCCCCCCCCCTCCGGCGCCCAGATCCTTCTTTTCGCGCCTGGGACCCGCGCCCCGGGCTCCGCCGGGGAACCGGCCGCGCGCGCCGCTCACCTGCGGGGACTCTCGGCCGGCGCTCCCCGCCCCTCGCGCTTCCTCTTCCTCCGCCTCCTCCGCCTCCCGCGGAACTCGCGCCTTCCTCTGCCCGGAGTCCCCGCTTTAATCCCGGGAGGCGGTGTCCTAGCGCCCAGGGCGACACCCCCAGACGCGGTCCCGGGCCACCTCGGGCACCGGGAGGGGCGGCGCACGGGTGGGGAGGAGGAGTTTCCCGCGGGGAAAGCCCGGGGCGCTCCCGGCCCCGCCCGCGGGGACCCCTTGCAGCTCCGGCTTGGTCCCCCGAGGGCGGAGGGCTCTGAGCGTGTCCCCCTCCCCACGTCCCTGCGACCGCCCCCGTTGTGCGCGCTTGGGGGTCCCGAGGTCTCGGGGTTTGGGTTAAGGAAGGAAACTCTGGGGAGCAGTGATTGAGTCCCCTGCCTGCGCCCCGGAAGCTTCTGGACCCGTGTGGGCTCTGTGGCCACGCGAGGACCGCGTTCGACCCTCTCCAGCTCTGCTGTGCCGGCCTTGGGATTTTTTTTTGTTTTTTTGTTTTTGTTTATTTGCCTTCAGGTCCCAAGTCACCCCCACCCTCCCCGTGTCCCCAGCAGTGGTGAAAGGGCTTCCCACCACCAGAGGCCGGGGAAAGGGGGGAAGGGCGGGGGAGATAAACCTCAGTCCAGAAGGCAGGGCTCCACCCTGTACTTAAGAGCGGTTTCCCGTGTTGTCTGCAATACACAAAACACGGGTTGCTTTATGATAAGGTAGAAGCGAAGAAAACCTGCCTCATTTCAAATCACTTGACTCCTTGGCTGGGGGGCTGGACTTCCCTAGTAGGTTCCTCCCTCCAGCCCTGTTCTGTCTCCCGCCCTCACATCCGCTGAGGGGACCATCCCGAATCTTCCCTGGGACCCACCCATCTCTCATACTTCAGGGTGGGTGTCCGGTTGTCCCCAATAAAGGACATCCCCTGGTGGGGGCCGGCGTACCACCGATAGGTCAGGTCGGATCATCTCCTCCCGGCCACTCATTTATTTCCGTTTTGAATGGTGTGTTTGGAGCTGTCCAGAAATGACCCCTATGTTCCACCAACTCCCCACGTCCACCTTCACACCAGGTGGCATGTGTGTATCTGTATTCAACCCTCTTCTGCTGATTATTCTCAAAGGGTCCATTTCTCCTTCTCTCGAGCTTCAAGGAATGTTGGTGGGAGTGGACGCACCTCGTGGGACTTGACCATCAGCCGGGAGAGCCAACTTTACCTCCGCGCTGGACCTGGGCACATGGCCAGTCTTGGCTCAGCCGCTGAGTTCCAGCTTCAGGGATGAGCTCACACCCCCTCATGGCCGGTGAGGTGAGGGGCTGGGGGGAGGGGCTTGGGGGGTTTCTTCTCAGGAACTTCCAGAGACTCGCTGCCTTGTGCTTGGAGCCAGAAAGAGCAAATGCTGTCAGGAACTGTTAACACCCATCTTTCCATCCCCAGGAAGTTTGCACCGTATAGAGAAAGCCTCCTCCATCAAAAATGGCAGCAGAGAAGACTAGAAGCCCGGTTCTTCATGGCATAATCGAACCACAGCATCAAATCGGCTCCAAAGTTAGGCCCACATGACCGCCTCTTTCGTGAATATAGGGGGCAAATCAGAATTGCTTAGCAAGGGGAGAAGCTGTGATACGATGAAAACAGAACGCTATTATTATCTGTTAAAAACAAGCAACAGAGCTCTGTTCATAGCAGTAAGACAGTGTAGATATCCTGAAATAACGCTCACATTAAAACACAACCGCAAAGGTTGGATAGAATATATATTGTTAATGCCCTTTATTTTTTTAATTAAAATTTTTAAAAATGTTTATTCATTTTTGAGAGAGAGAGACAGAGCATGAGTGGAGGAGGGGCAGAGAGAGACACACACACAGAATCCAAAGCAGGCTCCAGGCTCTGAGCTGTCAGCACAGAGCCCGACACGGGGCTCGAACTCACAGACCATGAGATCACTACCTGAGCCGAAGTTGGATGTTCAAATGACTGAGCCACCCAGGCGCCGCTGTTAATGTCTCTTAAAATTACAGCCAAATTGGGGCACCTGAGTGGCTCAGTCATTAAACATCCAACCTTGGCTCAGGTCACGATCTCACGGTTCATGGGTTCAAGCCCCCCATTGGGCTAACTGCTGTCAGCGCAGAGCCCTCTTGGGATCCTCTGTCCCCCTCTCTCTGCCCCTCCTCCACTCACACACACGCTCTCTCTCTCAAAAATATATACACATTAAAAAAATTACAGCCGGATTTGCAAGAACACTTGGGAAGTCCTCAAACACAAAAGTGAAGAGTGAGTGTGTATCCAGAGAGGGGAGGAAGGTGGCACGCGTCCTGAGACCATCAAAGTTCTGCAGAGCTTTACGCCCAGGGGATGAGGGTGAGCGGCAATGTCAAGGGCTTCGGCAAGGTGGGAGGCTGGCTAGGGTACCACCGCAGCGAGACACAACACAAAAAGCTCTCTTAAAAAGAAAGAGGATTTAAAAAAAAAAAAAAAACCCAACTGCCATCCATCCCACTGGAAGGTGATGACCAGTAAATGCATCTGTATCTTAGTCTTGGCTCCCTGTGGAGAAGGAATAATGCTCCCCTGAGAGTTTGTAACCACAAACAGGTCCTCATATGACAATTTAGGTTTTGAACCTAAATTCCCACTACCCTTGTGGCCAGAAAATGTCAAGCCAAAAATTCAATCTATGGTGGTCCTGGGTTGGGGATGTCCCAGCACGTGGCAGGAGCTGACTCAGATCCTCTCTCGGGGAATGCTGCTTGTGTTGGTTAATTTTATGTATCACTTTGACGGGGTGAAGGGATGCCCAGCTCGCTGGTAAAATGTGATTCCTGGGTGTGGCTGTGAGGGTGCTTCTGGAAGAGATGAGCATTTGGATCAGTCCACTGAGCATCGCCCTCATCAATGCAGGTGGGTGTGACCCAATTCTGTGAGGGGCGCAGTAGAACTGAAAGCAGAGGAAAGGTGAATTTTGCTCCCTCTGCCTGACCTGGGACGTCCATATACGCCTGCCCTCCCACATTACTGCTCTTGATTCTCAGACCTTTGACTCCTATTAAATCATGCCACCGGCTTTTCTGTTCTCCGGTGTGCAGAGAGCCAATTCTTGGCCTCCATAATCTCACGAGCTGATTCCAATAGGCAGATAGATAGATAGGGAGATGGATCTGTCTTATTTGGTCTGTTTTCTCTGGATGACCCTAACTCTTCACCCCTCAGCCTGGGGCTGGGGTGGGGTGGGGGGGGAGTCCTATAGAGTCACAATTAAGGTGAGCTTTAATTGAATTAAAAACAACAAAAAGAAGACATTAGGGAAAAAAAAGTCAGCGAGAAAACAAGCTGTGTAATCAGACCGTAGCTACTGGAGCTATTCGATACAAATGAGAAAATAAGTATGTTAGCTATGTTTAAAAAAAGAGAGAATCTACAAATGAATAAGAAGCAAGGATTTGTAATGATAACTTAGCAGACCTGGAGGACGAAACACTGAAGAGAACTTCCAAGGAGAAAAAAAAGAGTTCCAATAGCCGAAGCTGGAATCCATGACCCAGCAAACAAGACCTGGAGAAATTATCCAAAACTCACACAAAAAGGTGAAGCTATTTTTTTAAATATATGAAAAAGAAGCTAGGTGGTGTGGAGAAGAGAGGAAGAGGATCTAAACTGGGTCTGGGGGCTCCTGGGTGGCTCAGTTGGTTAAGTGTCTGACTCCATCTCAGCTCAGGTCTTCATTCTGAGGGTTGTGAGTTCAAGCCCCGTGTTGGGCTCCTTGCTGGGTGTGGAGCCTACTTAAAAAAAAAAAAAAAAAAAAAAAAAAGATAAAATAGGCCTGATTAGACCTCCAAAATGTGATATCAGAGTGAATCAGGTAAAAGCAATGATTAAAACTTTTCTAAAATTGATAGAAATCATGAATCCTTAGATTATTGAAGCACGACAAATCCAAAGAAGGAAAAAGAGGAGTCCACAGTTAAACATCCTATAGTAAGAATGCAGGACCCTTAAAATAAAGAGAAGATCCAATAAACCTCCCGGAACAGAAGACTTGCCCCCCCAACCAACCCCTACTGACACCAGGACAGGCAGAATAGGAAGGAATCAAGTGTTCAAAGTGTCAGGGAAAGTGACCAACAACCTAGGATTTTCTATCCTGTAAAAATATCATTCAAGAAAGAGGGAAAACCCATTCTAAGACAGATCAGGACAGTATTGACCTCAAGAAGGAAACATGGAAAGGAGGTAGTTCATGAAGAAGAAAAATAATCCCAGAAGGAAAGACTGACACACAAGAGACAGTAGGGAGCCAAGGACGTGGTAAAAATGTGGGTAAATCTAAACCAACATTGGTAGCATAAAATGGCACCCATGAGGGGAACCTGGATGGCTCAATTGGTTAAATGGTTAAGCGTCCAACTCTTGATGTTGGCTCAGGTCATGATCTCGTGGTCATGGGATTCAGCCCCACGTGGGGCTCTTGATTTCAGCTCAGGTCATGATCTCACAGTTCGATGAGATAGAACCCTGTGTGGGGTTCTGTGCTAATAGCATGGAGCCTGCTGGGGATTCTCTTTCTTGCCGCCCCCCTCTGCCCCTCTCCTGCTATTTCTTTCTCTATCTTAAAAAAAAAAAAAGACCCAAAGAAACAAAAAACAGCACCCCTGATAATGTGTAATTTGCAAAGGTAGAGTAGAAACAGCTGGAACAAACAACAAATAGAGCTAAAATATCAGAAAATGATAGCATGAAAACAGTGTTATCCCCAGGGAAACGAACAAGATTAAAATATGTGAATGATTGGCTTCCTCTGGAGTAGAATAAACATACTGGTTAGCTTTAGGCATTGCTGATATGCTCACCAAAAGGATAATTACAAAAGAATAAGAAAGAGAGTATATGTTGATATGTCCAACTGCAAAGAAGAAAAAATAGAGTAAGTGGGAAAGAACTCTGTAAGGTCAAACAAAATGATGCAAAGGAGGAGGAGTGAGGGGAAAGGAGTAAAAGTAAAAAAACAAAAACAAAAACAA